GAGGTCTAGCCATAGATCCCTGCTTCATGGGTCTCAGAGCTCTGCATCCTCTCCTCTCCGGTTTAACATCTACATGAAGCCACTAGGTAAGGTCATCTATCACCACATGGTAAAGAATCATCCATTCACTGTTGATATTCACATATGCACCTCTACCCTGGGCCAGCCAAGTGATGCTGTAAAGAGTCTTTCCCAGAGTCTGGAGGCTGTGGGGGTCTGGATGGGGAAGAACAAACTTTGATTTAATCCAGGCAAGACTGAGTGGTTTAAGGGTCCCTTGATCTGGAGACTTTCCATCTTTATTCTGCATCGGGTTGGACTCCCCAGATAGAACTGGTGTGCAATTTGAGGGTCCTCTTGGACTCTCTGCTCTGCTTAAAAAACAGGTGGCAGCTGTGGCCAAGAGGGACTTTGCACAAATCCATATTGTACACCAATTGTGAATATTCCTAGATCAGAAAGACCTGTTCACAGCCCCTGATCCCTTGGTTACCTCCTGCTTGGACTTTTGCAATATGCCCTATGTGGGCTGCCCTTGAAGACTATCTGGAAGCTACAATTGGTCTAGAATGCAGTAGCGGGTGTAGTTATGAGTACTCTATGGTACACCAATTAACACCATTACTTTGCAAGCTGCACTGGCTCACTGTGGGCTCCTGAGTACAATTCAGGATGCTTGTTACCACTATAAAGCCCTTTGTGGCATAAAGCAAGATAATTTGCAGGATTGCCTATTTCTGATTGTTCCTGCCTGTTCAAGATCCAACAGAGTGGACATGCTTCAAGCCCACTCTATGAATCAGTGTCATCCAGTGAGATGCAGGTGGTGTGTTTTTTTGGTTGCAGCACTTACCCTTTGGAACAGCATATCCCCTGTGGTTTAGTCTCATATTCTGTTGTGGTTTTGTAGGTTTATGATCTTTAGAGGGTTTTTCTATGTTTTTAATGCTATGTTAGCTACCAGAGTCATAATTTATAAGTTGGTGACCGTACAAATTGCATGAATGTATGTACATATGCATATATAAATAAATTGGTCCTATACTTTGGGGGTTTTGAGTGCAATATTTCTTCTACTGAAAACCTTCAGTCTTAGCTAGGATTCTAATGTGATATGTATCCCTTTGCTATCTAAGAAGCATAACAGTATTGAACTTCTGATGTATTCTATATTCAAAAGAAGAATGTGTGGGAGTGAGTTAGAAGCATCCCTTTTTAAGGATTTGCATAGTTCTATTGTGTAGATTGTACAGTGGTACCTCGGGATACGAACTTAATGCGTTCCGTGACTCTGGGAGTATCCCAAGTTGGTCGTAACCCAACGCAAATTTCCCCATAGGGTTCAATGTAAATCCGGT